CCTTTGCAAATGCCCCCTTTCACCCCCCCTTTTCAAATCTCCTCCTCTGCAACTCTTCTGACCCCCCCAACACCCCATTGCAACCCCCCCAGCAAGCTTCCCCTGAAATCCCCCTCTTCAAACCTCCCCCCTTGCAAATCCCTCTTTGCAACTCTTCTGACACCCCCCTCCCCCCAATGCTTTGCTCTAGGCACCTGAACCCAGGCTTGGAGCCCTCCCTGGGTGGTGGGTTGGAGGTTGGGGGGATACAGGTTTTTTTTTTTGAGGGGCCTTGAGGGGTGTGGCAGGGCCCCTGGCGCAGGGCAAGTGGGCTGGCGGGGTTTGGGGATGGAGCGCAGCCCTGCCGGGCCCTGGCACAAGTGACAGGAAACGCAGCGGTGGGGGGCGCATCCTGCAGCATCTGCCTGGGGCTGGGTCATCCTGGAGGAAGTGGGAGCTGCTGGGGAAGTCTTTGTGGCACTGGAGCAGAAGAGGCTGAGGTCACTGTCCCTGCCGGAGTCGGCCCCTGGTTGGACTGGTATTCCCCCTCGAGTTCCCCCCCACCTCAGCTGGACTCTGCATGCGTTTGGCCCACACGGTATGGCATGTGTCGGGGCGTCTTCGCTGGGCCTCTGGAAGTTTTATTTTCCAGTCCTGTGGTTCCCCTGGGCTCCTTCGCTGTGCTTCTGGCTGGCTGGTCTCTTTCCCTACTTTACAAGGATGGTTGCAGCATTGCATCAGGGGATATTTGCGCTGTAATTCAGTAACACAGCAAGGATAAGCGTTTGCCGCTCGCAGAGATGGGTGTGGCGAGCGGACTGGATACGGTGTATGAGGCCTGTACCCTGCCCAGTCATCGGCATGGGGCTTGAAACGGCAAGCTATTTATATAAATCAGGCCTTGTTTCAAGCTGAGCGCCCTGATTTAGAAGGAACAGTTGTCATATTTTAAGTATTAAGTGAGTGTTTGCTATGACACTGAATGCTGCTGCCACAAGTAAGTTTAGACACAAGGCTGCGGAGGAGTTGGGTAGGAAAAGGCCACGGCTAAATAAACCCATCCCCCGGCAAGCGTGTCCTGTTCCAGCCAGCGTGCTTTGTCACTGCACTTTGCAGTCTTTCTCTTTGTGTGCATTAAATTCATGCCCTAGTAAGCCTTTGAAGCTGAATTCACTTTATGATAACTTGGATTGAGATGTTCAAAACCTAGGAAGCACTTTAGCGGTTGGTGAAGGCATGTAGTTTCTGGTGAAGTCACTCTGGGTTTCTTCTGTTTAAAAAAA